GAGCCTAACTATGGGTTCTAAGATTTCATTTGTTGTAAGAGACCAAACAGGTAAACAGTACGACATGGTTGAGAGTATAAAGGCATGAAGATAGAATTCACTTTAATCATTCTATCTGCTGAAAAACACCATGTCATGAAAACTTAGGTCATTAAAGTATGTCATGAATTACTGGCTTAAACCTTAAAGTATTAGCTCCATCACACTCCCCCATCTGATAATTAAATGATCAATTAAATGATCAATAAAACAAACAAAAAAACAATAACCCCTTTAATGTATTAAAAAATTATGTCAACACAAAACTAAATAGATGTACTTTTCAAAAATCCCAACCCCAGTAATTCAATTTTTATTCCTCCCAGACATAAAAGTATTCATCATCAGGGTATTTGCTCATAATTCTCTCTTTCCACCCTTGCTTTTCTGTCCCATTTTCTTCATACCATGCTGAATAAAGCTGTAGCTTTGTGCGTAACTCCAAACGATACTCTGCTTGTCCCACAGGGTCCTCAATGTCGAATCCAGACCAATACTTCCTTTCCTTGGGTGTAGTGTGTACCTTCTCCTTCTTTGTTGATAGTTTGGGTTTCTCTGGTGAAGAAAAAGTGGTCAGTTTTTATTCAGTTGTAGGTTGGGGAAACACATTTTGTAGTTCCTCTGTTTGTGATGATGATGAAACCAGATGTTTTTCCAGTTCAGCAGCTTGAAGTAACTCATCTCTCTGTGGTTCTGGTTCTGCAGCAGCCTCCTTGTCATCCTCTTGTCCTTCAGCCTTAGACGTCAGCTGATCACTCTGCTGCTGTTTGTTTCCAGCCGGAACTCGGTTCAGATAATACTTCATGTTTGAAGCCAGAAGTTGTGCTTCAGTTTGATTCAGTCAGTCCATCAGACCTGAACAGATGTTTTCATTCCCAAAAGAGATCAAAGTTGTCCACATATCTCACAGAGTGGTCAGCACAGAACTTTTCCAAAAAAAAACCCCATTAAGAGTAAAAAGTCTACTCAGCGCCTACTTTTGCTGTAGGAATTGGTCCACTGATGAACACATCCATGTTCAGATTTTTAACTGCATTCAGCAGCTGAATAAAATCCTTCTTCAGGATTTCTGACTGTCGGTTCATAACTTCATCACTTCCTGTATGAATGGTGAGCATCTTCAGAGATGGATACTCAGCTGTTATTTCCAGAATCTTCTCTGTGAGGTCAGACACTTTATCAGCAAAACTCAGAACTTTGACTTTTTTCTTGTTACGTGTTTTAATATGGTATGTCCGAATAAACAGGATTCAGCTGGATTTCTTG